CACATGTGCTGTGTATGTAATGTTAACAGCAAGGTTTACCGTGAAAGAGTGTAGCCATTGTTGTAGAAAATGTGTCTTTTTAAATACCACTGTCTCTTTTTTTTTTCTCCACCAGCTGCATGTGTTTCAAGGATCACAGGATCTTCTGCTTCCCAGAGGCTAGTGAAGATTAGAAGGCGAAAAAAATGCACTCGTGATGAAATGTTCTCTGAGCTCATGCTATCCTCCCACACTGACAAAGCACAGACGAATGCGTGGAGGCAGACAATGTCAGAGTGCAGGAAAGCACAATATGACCGGGAGGAGAGGTGGTGGGCTGAAGAGAGTAAGTGGCGGGCTGAAGAGAGGGCTGAAGCTGAAAGGTGGTGGCAGCGTCATGAGAGGAGGCAGGATTCAATGCTGAGGCTGCTGGAGGATCAAACCAATATGCTCCAGCGTATGGTTGAGCTACAGGAAAGGCAGCAGGAGCACAGACCGCCGCTACAGCCCCTGTGTAACCAACCGCCCTCCTCCCCAAGTTCCATAGCCTCCTCACCCAGACGCCCAAGAAGGCAGTGGGGGGGCCTCCGGCCACCCAGCCACTCCACCCCAGAGGATTGCCCAAGCAACAGAAGGCTGGCATTCAATAGGTTTTAAAGTTTTAAACTTTGAAAGTGCTGTGTAGCCTTGTCCTTCCCTCCTCCACCACCCCTCCTGGTGCTTCTCTCCTCCACCACCCCTCCTGGGCTACCTTGGTAGTTATCCCCCTATTTGTGTGATGAATGAATAAAGAATGCAAGAATGTGAAGCAAGGATGACTCTATTGCCTCTGCAAGTGGTGATCGAAGGGAGGAGGGGAGGGTGGTTAGCTTACAGGGAAATAGAGTGAACCAAGGGGCGGGGGGTTTCATCAGGGAGAAACAAACAGAACTTTCACACCATAGCCTGTCCAGTCATGAAACTGGTTTTCAAAGCTTCTCTGATGCGCACCGCGCCCTCCTGTGCTCTTCTAACCGCCCTGGTGTCTGGCTGTGCGTAACCAGCAGCCACGCGATTTGCCTCAATCTCCCACCCCGCCATAAACGTCTCCCCCTTACTCTCACAGAGATTGTGGAGCGCACAGCAAGCAGTAATAACAGTGGGAATACTGGTTTTGCTGAGGTCTAACCGAGTCAGTAAACCGTACCAGCGCGCTTTTCAATGTCCAAATGCACATTCGACCACCATTCTGCACTTGCTCAGCCTGTAGTTGAACAGCTCCTGACTACTGTCCAGGCTGCCTGGGTACGGCTTCATGAGCCATGGCGTTAAGGGGTAGGCTGGGTCCCCAAGGATAACTATAGGCATTTCAACATCCCCAACGGTTATTTTCTGGTCTGGGAATAAAGTCCCTTCCTGCAGCTTTTGAAACAGACCAGAGTTCCTGAAGATGCGAGTGTCGTGTACCTTTCCCGGCCATCCCACGTTGATGTTGGTGAAACGTCCCTTGTGATCCACCAGTGCTTGCAGCACTATTGAAAAGTCCCCCTTGTGGTTTATGTACTCGCCGGCTTCGTGCTCTGGTGCCAAGATAGGGATACGGATTCCGTCTACGGCCCCACCGCAGTTAGGGAATCCCATTGCAGCAAAGCCATCCACTATGACCTGCACATTTCCCAGGGTCACTACCCTTGGATATCAGCAGATCTTTGATTGCGTTGGCTACTTGCATCACAGCAGCCCCCACAGTAGATTTGCCCACTCCAAATTGATTCCCGACTGACTGGTAGCTGTATGGCATTGCAAGCTTCCACAGGGCTATTGCCACTTGCTTCTCAACTGTGAGGGCTGCTCTCATCTTGGTATTCTTGTGCCTCAGGGCAGGGGAAAGCAAGTCACAAAGTTCCATGAAAGTGCCCTTACGCATGCGAAAGTTTCGCAACCCCTGGGAATCGTCCCAGACCTGCAACACTATGCGGTCCCACCAGTCTGTGCTTCTTTCCCAGGCCCAGAATCGGCATTCCATCGCATGAACCTGCCCCATTAGCACCATGATGCCCACATTGTCAGGGCCCGTACTTTGAGAGAAGTTTGTGTCCATGTCCTCATCACTCACGTCACCGCGCTGACGTCGCCTACTCGCCCGGTATCGCTTTGCCAGGTTCTGGTGCTGCATATACTGCTGGATAAGGCGTGTGGTGTTTAATGTGCTCCTAATTGCCAAAGTGATCTGAGCGGGCTCTATGCTTGCCGTGGTATGGCGTCTGCACAGGTAACTCAAGAAAAAAGGCGCAAAACGATTGTCTGCCCTTGCTTTCCCGGAGGGAGGGAGGGAACGGGGGCCTGACGATATGTACCCAGAACCACCCGCGACAATATTTTAGCCCCATCAGGCACTGGGATTTCTACCCAGAATTCAAATGGGCGGCGGAGACTGCGGGAACTGTGGGATAGCCACCCACAGTGCAATGCTCCGGAAGTCGACAGTTGCCTCGGTACTGTGGACACATTCCACCGACTACATGCACTTAGAGCATTTGTGTGGGGACACACACAATCAACTGTATAAAAACGCTTTCTACAAAACCGACTTCTATAAATTCGACCTAATTTTGTAGTGTAGACGTACCCTTAGAGACTAACCAATTTATTTGAGCATAAGCTTTCGTGAGCTACAGCTCACTTCATCGGATGCATTCAGTGGAAAATACAGTCAGGAGATTTATATACACACAGAACATGAAAAAAATGGGTGTTATCATACACACTGTAAGGAGAGTGATCACTTAAGATGAGCTATTACCAGCAGGAGAGCGGGGGGAGAAAACCTTTTGTAGTGATAATCAAGGTGGGCCATTTCCAGCAGTTAACAGGAACGTCTGAGGAGCAGTGTGGGGTGGGGGAAGACAGTGGCAAGAAGATTTTGAATGGCCCCTAACTTTGGGTGCCCACGTTGAGACACCTGGGGCCTAGAGTTCAGAGGTGCTAAATACCCGCAGCTCCCAGGAGGGCTTGTGGGCACTTAGGGTGTGTCTACACTGCAGTTATGTGCCCACGGCTGGCCCGGGCCAGCTGACTCCAGCTAACAGGGCTCGAGCTGAGCAGCTGTTTATTTGTGGTGCAGACGTTCTGGCTTCGGCTGGAGCCCGAGCTCTGGGAACCTCCCACCTCGCATCGTCCTAGAGTCAAAGCGCCAGCCTGAGCCCCAAAGGCTACACCGCAGTTAAACAGCCCCTTAGCCCGAGTCCCGGGAGCTGGAGTCAGCTGGCCTGGGCCAGCTGCAGGTGTGTAATTGAAAATCAGCCCCCAGCCGTCTCTGGGTGGGCACCAAAACCTGAAGCATCCAGTGCTGGCCATTTACTCCCTACTGAATCCCTGGACCTGAACTCCATGGGCGAAGCCACCTTGCCTGGCCTGCGTTTGGCTCTAGGCTACATCTACTGGGAGCTTAGCAGGTCCTCTACATTTGATGTATCGTGAGGGCAGCACCTGGCTCTGGGAAGGCTCAGTAATTGGATGAGTCTGTTCAATTCCACGGATCTGCTTCTAGCCAGGTTGCCGCTTGCGTTTTGCTTGGGTCTGTAAAAGAAAACAAAATCAAAGTGGCTGGTGGAAGCAGCACAATGAACATTTAAAAAGAATCAGTGGCAGAGCTAATAGCGGGCCGGGGGGCAACTGCCCCCCTCAGCAGCCATTAGGTATACGTTTGGTGCCTTTTCAAGCCAATAGGTAGAACTGAAGGTGGAACCACCAATGACCTGGATATGATATAAGCTGGATATGAGTCAGCAGTGTGCCCTTGTTGCCAAGAAGGCCAATGGCATTTTGGGATGTATAAGTAGGGGCATAGCGAGCAGATCGAGGGACGTGATCGTTCCCCTCTATTCGACATTGGTGAGGCCTCATCTGGAGTACTGTGTCCAGTTTTGGGCCCCACACTACAGGAAGGATGTGGATAAATTGGAGAGAGTCCAGCGAAGGGCAACAAAAATGATTAGGGGTCTAGAACACATGACTTATGAGGAGAGGCTGAGGGAGCTGGGATTGTTTAGCCTGCAGAAGAGAAGAATGAGGGGGGATTTGATAGCTGCTTTCAACTACCTGAAAGGGGGTTCCAAAGAGGATGGCTCCAGACTGTTCTCAATGGTAGCAGATGACAGAACGAGGAGTAATGGTCTCAAGTTGCAGTGGGGGAGGTTTAGATTGGATATTAGGAAAAACTTTTTCACTAGGAGGGTGGTGAAACACTGGAATGCGTTACCTAGGGAGGTGGTAGAATCTCCTTCCTTAGAGGTTTTTAAGGTCAGGCTTGACAAAGCCCTGGCTGGGATGATTTAACTGGGAATTGGTCCTGCTTCGAGTAGGGGGTTGGACTAGATGACCTTCTGGGGTCCCTTCCAACCCTGATATTCTTTGATTCATAGAATCATAGAATCATAGAATATCAGGGTTGGAAGGGACCCCAGAAGGTCATCTAGTCCAACCCCTGCTCGAAGCAGGACCAATTCCCAGTTAAATCATCCCAGCCAGGGCTTTGTCAAGCCTGACCTTAAAAACCTCTACCACCTCCCTAGGTAACGCATTCCAGTGTTTCACCACCCTCTTTATGAAAAAGTTTTTCCTAATATCCAATCTAAACCTCCCCCACTGCAACTTGAGACCATTACTCCTCGTTCTGTCATCTGCTACCATTGAGAACAGTCTAGAGCCATCCTCTTTGGAACCCCTTTCAGGTAGTTGAAAGCAGCTATCAAATCCCCCTCATTCTTCTCTTCTGCAGGCTAAACAATCCCAGCTCCCTCAGCCTCTCCTCATAACTCATGTGTTCCAGACCCCTAATCATTTTTGTTGCCCTTCGCTGGACTCTCCAATTTATCCACATCCTTCTTGAAGTGTGGGGCCCAAAACTGGACACAGTACTCCAGATGAGGCCTCACCAATGTCGAATAGAGGGGAACGATCACGTCCTCGATCTGCTCGCTATGCCCCTACTTATACATCCCAAAACGCCATTGGCCTTCTTGGCAACAAGGGCACACTGCTGACTCATATCCAGCTTCTCGTCCACTGTCACCCCTAGGTCCTTTTCCGCAGAACTGCTGCCTAGCCATTCGGTCCCTAGTCTGTAGCTGTGCATTGGGTTCTTCCGTCCTAAGTGCAGGACCCTGCACTTATCCTTATTGAACCTCATCAGATTTCTTTTGGCCCAATCCTCCAATTTGTCTAGGTCCTTCTGTATCCTATCCCTCCCCTCCAGCGTATCTACCACTCCTCCCAGTTTAGTATCATCCGCAAATTTGCTGAGAGTGCAATCCACACCATCCTCCAGATCATTTATGAAGATATTGAACAAAACCGGCCCCAGGACCGACCCTTGGGGCACTCCACTTGATACCGGCTGCCAACTAGACATGGAGCCATTGATCACTACCCGTTGAGCCCGACAATCTAGCCAGCTTTCTACCCACCTTATAGTGCATTCATCCAGCCCATACTTCCTTAACTTGCTGACAAGAATACTGTGGGAGACCGTGTCAAAAGCTTTGCTAAAGTCAAGAAACAATACATCCACTGCTTTCCCTTCATCCACAGAACCAGTAATCTCATCATAAAAGGCGATTAGATTAGTCAGGCATGACCTTCCCTTGGTGAATCCATGCTGGCTGTTCCTGATCACTTTCCTCTCATGCAAGTGCTTCAGGATTGATTCTTTGAGGACCTGCTCCATGATTTTTCCAGGGACTGAGGTGAGGCTGACTGGCTGATTCTATGATTCTATGACCCAGCTGCCTCCTGGTTCCACCACTGCTCAAAATGTAGCTCCGCTGATGCTAAGAATCCAGAGTCTATTGAGCAGGAACATGGGACAGACAGCACCCTTGCTTGGAGAACCCATGCTTTGCAAAATGAGACATGGACTTTCATTCACCCTGCACTGAATTGCAGCCACTTCTGGAGTGGAGCATAGTACCTGCATAACAACACACGGATTGCTCGCCCAGCACAGAAATGCAGATACCTCTGGGGTGGAGCGCAGCAGCGTATCATAGAACGTGAGGGTTGGAAGGGACCTCAGGAGATCATCTAGTCCAACCCCCTGCTCAAAGCAGGGCCAATCCCCAATTTTTGCCCCAGATCCCTAAATGCACCCCCCCCTCAAGGATTGAACTCACAACCCTAGGTTTAGCAGGTCAATGCTCAAACCACTGAGCTATCCCTCCCCCCCACAACACAATACAGGGATCACTCACCTGGCATTGAAATGCAGACAGCTCTGGATGGAGCATAGCAGATGTGCAACAGCACTCAACAACACTACACAGGGGTCACTCACCCAGAACTGAAATGATGCCACATCTGGGGTAGGAATGCAGCAGCTGTTGAACAGCCACAGAGCGACACTCCTCACAGTGTAGAGCAGGATGTGAAGAAGACTCTCACTTCCATTCGAAAGCTCTGGGGGAGTTCACAGAAACAGACCATGCTGTTAACCTGAGCTGAACAGCAGCCAGGACACAATAGATTGGGTCTGCACTGCGGGTAACCAGACAACAGCTCTGCCATGAGGGATTCGTTCTGATTGACGGAGGGAGGGATGGGGCAGGGAGCCAGTCAAGCTTGGGGAACAAATTCCTTCTCCAGGACGCTTTGCTCCAGGATCTTAGAGCCCAGGCTCTACGGCCATTAATTCCTGCACCACCCAGCTGGAAGGGGAGGGCTGGGGAAGGTCTTTGCGCTCCACATGTCACAGGAGGACAGGGCAGAACGAACCATGTCACAGAATGAATCAGTTGCATCGCCTGGACTAGAACCCAGGAATCCTACCTGCCAGCTCTCTGCTCTAACCATTAGACCCCACTCCGCTCGCAGTCAGGATAGACCCCAGGAGTCCTGATTCCTAGACACACACACACACACACACACACACACACGTTTCTCTAACCCAGTGGTTCTCAACCAGGGTCACGGGTGCCCCTGGGGGTACGCAGAGGTCTTCCAGGGGGTACACCAACAGGCTACACAAAAAGCTTTAGCGAAGTCAGGACAAACTAAAATGTCATACAGACAATGACTTGTTTATACTGCTCTGTATACTGTTGGGTGTGTTTTGTTATAGGATTATAGTCTGTTAAAATATGTGTATATTAAAGTCAATATGGGGTTTGTAAAGACAGAGCAGCAATCCAAGATGGCGTCTGAACGGCCATCTTGTGACCGCCATCTTGTTGTTTACGGTGATCATGGCCCAGTCATAACTGGATCCAACCGGCTTTTCCCGCCATTGGCAGCTCCCAGGACAATTTTACCTCAGACTGTTTCCACCCCGGCTGGGGCTGGACCATGTTTTCCCGCCGCTCCGTGCAGGAAGGGCCGGGACTGGCTGAGCAGTGGTACAGTCCCTTCCCTCCGGCCCTCCCCGCCCCCGGCAGCGCTGAAGGACGCCATTCCCGACGGGGCGAGACGGGCAGAGGCCGTTCGCTCCATTCGACCTGCCCCTGTTCCTGGGTGCAACACGGGGCCTGGCTGAGGGGGGCTGGGTGGAGGGGGGCGAGGGGCCTGGCTGATGGGGGGAGGCTGGGGGGAGGGGGGACTTGCAGCTCAGTGGGGGGCCCTGACTGGAGTGGGCTGAGGCCCCACTACCCCAACCCAGTCCTCGCTTTAACCCTGCCCGAGGCCCCCGCCTCCCTCTGCGCCCCACGTGACCAGGTGGGGGTTCAGTGGGGACCTGCGTGGCCCTGTCACTGGTCGCCTGCCCATTGGTGCCCAGGCCCAGCCCTCGCAGCGCCAGAAGTGGGGGGCTGCGGCGTTCGGCCGTCTTCAGCCTTGCAGACATCGACCCGCCAGCACCCCAGTTGCTTTATACTGAAATCAGTCACTGGGGGGGCTGGGCCCGTCCATCAGTGACACTGGGGGGGGCTGGGCCCGTCCACCAGTGACTGATTTCAGCGTCGCTAGGGGCTGTCGCCCAGTGTCACAGACACTCCCCAGAGCATGGCAGGGAGAGGCCAGGGCGTGCCCAAGGTCAGGAGCAGAGCCGGGGCAGAACCCAGGAGTCCTGACTCCAGCCCCACCCCGCACACAGCTGAGTCCCACTTCTACCCATAGGGCTCGAGGGGACGTGGCAAGAGGCAGAAATGGCCCCGTCCGGGCTGAAGGCGGTGGTGCGCAAGAGTGAGTGCGGAGCCGGGGGGTCTGAGTGCGGAGCCGGTCGGGGGCAGGGTCTGGTTGGGTGTGGGTCTGGGGGGGCAGGGCCCAGTTGGGGGGCCCTGGGAGGGGCGCTCCTGGGGGTGTCTCACCCTCGGGGAGGATTAGGAGTCAGTCGGAGCAGAGAGCTCCCCCCCGCCTGCCTGTCATACACCAGGAAGGGGAGGAGGCTGTCTGCCCCACCCCCAAGGGCTGCCCCCTCCCATAGGAGCTGCACTTTGGGGGGGGGCGTCATCGTCGTCATCTCTTTCCATCAGGATGACTCCCACCAGGGCCGGTGCAAGGATATTTTGTGCACTAGGCGAAACTTCCACCTTGCACCCCCCCCGCCCTCCCCGACAACCTCTGAAAACTAGTAAAGTTAGCATTATAAACAGCCTGTCAGAATGGGTAACGGCTGCGCGCGAGGAGAAAAATGACGTCATAGCCGCTTTGTAACGTAGTGAAGCAGTACACTTCTGCCCGGCCCCAACACAGAGCTGGCGTAGGCTATAGCTGTAATGTAGGAGAGAGCAAGTTAAAGCCTTACACTTCAGAAGCCCAACCCACTTCTGTTACTTCAGAAGCCCAGATCCACTGCTGAATCTCCAGCCCAGGCTGCAGTGGACGGGGCCTGTGGCTAAATCCAGACCACAGACCTGGGGTTTAAAAGACTCTTGGAAAGTGGATTCAGTTCTGATGTTCCATGGTTGCCCCCAGAACTGGGACAGAGCAAAAGTGGCCCACAGTTCAGGACGGCCGGTGGTGCTAATAACCCTTAGCTCTTCTCTTAGCTTTTCCTCACTAAATCGCACAATTAGGAGGGCCTGACACGTGACTTTTGAATACTTGGGGTGGGCCATACTGCCCTGGTTCAAGAGGGGTCTCTGAACAGGAATAGCAGGGGGCTGCGGGTCAGGAGTGAGGGGCATCTGCAGAGCCGTGGCAGGGTGGGGGGGAACCCAGGACTGGAATAGCTGCGGGTCAGGAGTGAGGAGCACCGGCGGAGCTGGGAGTGGGTGGTAGCCCAAGGCTGCGATAGCAGGGGGCTGCGGACAGGAGTGAGGGGCACTGGCAGAGCTGGGAATCGGGGGGGAGCAAAGGGCTGGAATAGCAGAAGGCTGCGGACAAGAGTGAGGGGCATCTGCAGAGCCGTGAGGCGGGGAACCCAGGACTGCAATAGCTGCGGGTCAGGAGTGAGGCAGAGCTGGTGGGGGACAGACCAGAGCTGGCATAGCAGAGGGCTGTGGACAGGAGTGAGGGGCACTGGCAGAGCTGGGAATGGGGGGGAGGAAAGGGCTGGGATTGCAGGGGCTCCAGTCAGTAGTGAGGGGCACTGGCACAGCTGGTGGGGGGAGCCCAGGGCTGGCGTGGGGAGCTGTAACTGCAGTTCAGGGTCAAAATGCCTGGGCGGAGTTGCGTGGAGAAAGCAGGTTCATGTCTGCCTTCACCATGTCTGGATCCAGGCTGTGCTGCCGGCCCCTTACCTTGCACTAGAGCTCCACGTGCCCCGGTGAACGGGGCGTCCGCATGCCGCAGGTGTAAAGGAACTGCAGGAAAGCAGCAGGGAGGCCAGTGCGTCCTGGTGCAGAATAGCCCCTGGAGCCTCATTAGGACCGAGCAGCCAAGTCCTGATGGGCTAGAGGTGGGGTAGGGAGAGGCATTGCTTGAGTTATGGTGGAAACATAGTGTGTTGGGCAGTGCACTCACGCACACCAGCTACCAGGAGTGGGAGTGAGAGTGAGAGCACAGGTCAGGGTCGTGGGGCTATTGCCCTACGGGGCCAGCCAGAATCAGGTGCTTCGTAGGGGTAAAACAAACAGATGTATTATGGTAGCACCCAGGAGCCCCAGTCATGGACCAAGGCCCCATTTTGCAAGGCGTTGTACATTATTCATTAGGTGTATTACGGTAGTGCCCAGGAGCGCCAGTCATGGGTCAGGGTACCATTATGCTGGGCACAACAAAAAGATGGTGCTTGGCCCAAAGAGCTGACTATCTAATTGCTTAGCTGGGCCGTGGAAGGTGCCCAGGAGACAGGCCGGCAGTTCTCTGAGCGGGGCATGCCTTGGAGGGGTTCTATGTGCAGGACTCAGGATTTGAAGTCTTTGTTGTGTTGTTGTCCCCCACACACTGTAGAGGGTCCCTGGATCCCCTCCAGTCAAGAGGTGCTGGACAGGATCTGTTCTCTTGCTGCACGGGGCCAGATCCTTAGTTCAGCTGTGCTTGTATCCAGCCTGGCAGAAAGGAAGGGGGATCAGACCCATGGCCCATCTAGCCTGTCACCCCACCACGATCGCCGACTGGGGGCTCGGCTAGGAGCACATCGCTAGCTGGCCTGAAAGCAGCCTCTGAGCCACTTCCCCGAGGGGTCCTTCCACCAGCCAGTGGGTCCTGGCTCAGGCACAGCCGTCCCATCCGAGCCCCACCACTGATCCTCATCTCTTTCACTCGCAGAGATCCTCAGCGTTGTCCTTCACAGCGTGAAGAAGGAAAGAGAATGGAAGGTAAGCAGGCCGAACCTGTTGCCCTGGTGTCCCCCTGGGGATATGCTGTATCCATATATCATGCTCCTCCCCCTCCAGCCTCTTGAGATTCATTAGGAACCTGAGCTTTTCCAGGCTGGATCAGATCCCTGCTCTGTCTAGCCCATCATCCGTCCCCAGCTAGGCTTGGGTATGTCTGCCTTCCCACTGCGCTGGATCAGACCCAGCTTGTCCAGCTAGCCCCATATCTCCCCCCACACACACACCGGATCAGACCACTGGGACCAGTGAATCAGCCTGGGTGGGAGGAGGAGCAGGAGAGTGCCAAGCATGGGGGCAGTATGCACCATTGGGCAGGCAGGTTATTGAGCCCCCGGCATGGACTGGGCTGGGGGATGTGGAGCAGCGGGTTAGGCCGGTGCGGCAGAGGGAGCATTCGGCACGGCAGGAAGGTGGTGGAGATGTTGGGCCAATGGCCTACAGGGCTTTCCTAGGGGAACACGGAGACTCCCCTCGTTCCATTTCTCTGTGCCCTGATCCTGGTTCTGTCCGAGGGCTGGGGAGCGGATATCTGGTGGATCGGAGCAGGGGACTGGGAGCTAGGACTCCTGTTCTGTCCCTGCCTCTTGCACTCACCCTGTCACCTGGGCGAAGAGGCTGATCTCCTCCAGTCTAGGAGGATGGAACCATTCTGAATGGCCGGGTGTCCCAGGTTTGTCTCCTACATCTCGTACCAGCCACTCTGCTCGGAGCCGCTCTCCCTGTAGCTCCTCACGCAGTCCTTAGCACGGTCAGCTCAGCAAAGTGCAGGATTGGTACCGGCCCTGCTGCTCTGCTGTGAAAGGGCTGTGGAAGGGCTCTGCCATTAGCAGTCGCTCTGCTCCCTTGGCTGTGCTGTGGATGATGATGGTGGGCAGCTGGGCTCAGGGCAGTGACTAGTTCATCCGAAGTGGAGCGCTCCCCTCTCGCTACCCCAGGTGCTGATCATGGACCACCCCAGCACGCGCATCCTCTCATCATGCTGCACGATGTCCGACATCGTAGACGAAGGCATCACACGTGAGTGGCCCCTCCCTCCCGTCTGCTCCCCCCGCCAGGGCTCCCCTCCCCATTGGATACACCTCACAGTCAGGGAGTTGACTTGTCTACATTCACATTTGCATCTAGTTTCCCCGCTTTGCAGCCCCCTAGACGCCCTCCTTGCTATCGGTACCTTCCCAGCCAGGTCTAGTTCCCTTAGCCTGGCACTTTCAGCCCGTGGAGCCTCTTCACCGCTTTTCTCAAACTCCCGCTAACTCCTCGCTGCTCCTCCCCAATGCTGTGGGCAGGGTCCTGGCTGGGGAGGGCGAATGCTGGCTCCCTGCTTTAGGGTGGAGGAGCCCTTGGGGTTGAGGGGCACAGAGCTGAGCCAGCACTCTAGCGGGGTGCCCCCAGCACAGTACAGAGGGCCATTCCTTCCCTGCTCCATACTGTGGCAGCATCGCAGCCCACGGCCCCACATCGAAGCGGCTGCTGCATTGTCGCCTCTGGAACGCCCCGGCCTGCTGCCAGCGAACATCACTGTGCCCCTTGGCTTCCCCTCCCCACATCCTGGTGGAGAGCGGCTGGGGCGGGTGGCTAGGACACACTGACCCGCGCCCAGTGTCTGCTCTCTCCTAGTTGTGGAAGATATTAACAAGTGCCGGGAGCCAATCCCCAGCCTGGAGGCCGTCTACCTGCTCAGCCCAGTGGAGGAGGTAGGAGCTCGGGCCTGGGGCAACTGGATGGGGAGCAGGGGAGACCCCGGGACAGCTCCTAGTGCTGCCTGGAGGTGGCGCTGTCCGGGGGGGATGCGCAGCACAACGTCAGGATGGGAATGGGGCCAGTCAGGGCTCCCCAAGAGGCTGCTTCCCCAGAGCTGGGCTTCATGTTCTTTGCCACGTGAGGCACAGACTGTCCCCCAGACCTCTCCGCAGTGCAGTCCTGTGGGGGTTGGATGGGCAGATGCAGCAGGTGGAGAGAGGCGACCTCAGCTGAGACTCAAAGCGAAGGAGACTCGCTGAGGCAGAGGCTCAGGGAGCAGGGGCTGTTGGGGAGGAGGCTCCTGCATCTGCAGCAGCGAGGTGAGTGGAGGGAGACCAGGGGCAGGGGGCGCTGGCAGAGCAGGGTGAAGCCCAGAACCCACAGGGGCTGCCCGTGGAGGGAGCGCTGTAGGAGAGGACTGCGAGCTGGGGCTTGGGACAGGGCAGCCAGGTTCTCACCTGTCACAATGGCCGGTCGAGGGGTCTGAACAGGTTCCAAACACCCTGCCAGGCTAGCTGGCGTGGCGAAGCTGCAGGTGCCCAGCATGGCGCCCGGGAAGGGAGGGGGCCCTGATGGTAGTTGCCTGGGATTGCTGCTCGGCCGGCTGTTCGCTGGACACTGCTCAGAGCCCACTTAGTTCAGCAGCAAGGCAATGCCAGGCCTCATCTGTGGCCGGGCATGGACACTTCTGTGCCAGCAAGAGATGTGGCTGGGCCCTGAGGATGTCCCGGGCACATGGGCACAAGCCCTGCTCCAGGCAGGGAGGGAGCCCAGAGCCAGGGGGGTGAAAACCAGCCCACCTCCCGATGGCATCATGCTAGGCCCTGAGTCCCCAGGGCCTGGGCATGGGCTGGGCCATTTGAGCAGCAGGGAGGGGCCTCGGCAGGTGCTGACAACCCCCCTCTCTCCGCTTTGCAGTCGGTGCAGGCTTTGATCAATGACTTCCAGGGCACCCCCACCTTCAACTACAAGGCAGCTCACGTCTTCTTCCTCAGCCGTGAGTATTGGGGGTCGGGGGATCCCCCAGCTGGGAGCCTGGACAGCGGCACACTGGAGCCTGTGGGTGGGGGGTCTCTCTCTGCCGGCAGGCCAGTGCGCAGCACCCTGATTATGCTCTGCCCTCCTGCAGGGGGATGCAGCCCCAGCAGGCCAGACTGAATGACCCCACCTATCCCTTCCCCCCCCTTCTCCCCCACGGGCCTGCCTCCAGCCAGCACGGCTCACAGACACCTGCAGCGTGTGCCCAGAAAGGCGGCCTCTTGCTACCATTCCCAGCATGCATTGCTCCATCAGTCCCAACTCGGTGGGGGGATGGGACACCACCAGAATACCCAGTGTGTCAGGGTCATATCTGCTTCTCCCCATTACAGCGGCAGGGGGAACCCAAGTCCCCTTCCTCCTTGTGCATCATCCTGAGTTGTACACTCCGGTCACTCAGCCCTGCGGGCGGGCTGAGGGCAGGGTGTGAGACAGGGGCTGCATCGGAGAGATTGTGGCTCCCCCTCGCTGCTGATGCTGCAGAAGGCGAGAACCCGGCATGACTCTGGTTCGGGGGGGGCTGGACTCATCGTTGACTCCTGTGTGGCCCTGCTGGCTTGCCCAGGTTCCCCACAAGCGTGCAGCACTACTGCCCCTGCTGTGCCCGTCCTGGCCCCGTCCGTGGGGGCTGGCGCTGTGCTGGGGGTCCTGAGCCCTGTGCCTGTCACTCCCACCCACTGCCTTTGCCTTGCAGCCTGTCCTGAGCCTCTGTTCAAGGAGCTGAGGAAGTCACGGATCACCAAGGTCATCAAAACCCTCAAGGAGATCAACATGGCCTTCCTGCCCTATGAGAGCCAGGTGAGGGGTGGCCGGGCTTTGGAGGAGCAGGTCCGCGGGGCGGATGGTGACGTACGACACCACACCCTTATTGTTTCATGTGGTTTGGCGGGGGAACCTTTCCCTTCTAGGGCCCCGGGTTTGACGCCAGCACAGGACAGCAGGAACTAGCTGGCTGCTCACACCCTGTGAGAGGTGGAATCGCTGGCTTGCACCTGGTGGGGATGGTAGATGTATGGGGGAGGAGGGCCCTGCCTCCCTGGCTTTACCAGCTCTTACTGATGGTTTATACTAGGCCTGCAAGACAGCCCGATACTCCACACGCCTGCCCTTTACCCAACCACCCCATCCCCTCCTTGTGTCATCAGTGGATTTCCCCCCTCCTGCCCCTGAGGGGCAGGACTGTGGTGTCAGCCCCATTGCATTGATGGGGAAACTGAGGCACAGAGAGACATGAGCCTGGGCTACACACAAAAGCTTTGTTGGTATGGGTTTGTTACAGGGACATGAGAGAAAAAATCCCCCCTGTAACTGATGCAGCTGTGGTGGCAGAGCCCCTGGGTAGATGCCGTTACGCTGGCAAAGCAGTCCTTTCGCCACTCTAGCTGATTTCATCTGGGGTACCGGTGCCAGCTGTGCCAAGAGAAGCTTTGGCTGGTATAAGCTGAGTGTCCGTCAGGAGGCTTTGCTGGCTCACCCGTCCCGTTGCGCCAGCAAACCCTTCATGGGCCGATACTGTTTATTGGTGTCCAAGCACGTTTGTCCCAATGGCTCGTTCTGTTCGGCCAGTGAAATAAGCGACAGCGGCAGACGCGCCTTGATGCTGGGTTTGCCCGTGGCTATGCTGGGGCTTTCGCCAGACTAGAAGCGTCGCCAAGCCCCCTCCCCCAACATTGAGGGCACCTGGGGGTCTGCAGCCAAGTAAGGACCTGAAGCTGGGGCATCTTCATCCCAGGCTGGTGCATGAATCTCTGGCTCGCTATCCCTCTACCACAACAGGAGTGGCACTGGCAAAGGGATCTCTCCCTCACTAGGGGCTCGCTACAGCTCCACCAGGCTGGCCTGATCCAACAGCGCATCTTAGGGGCGCGGTATGGGACACAGCTGGCCTGGCTGCAAGCAGTTGGCACCGGGGGCTGATCTCTGCTCTCCCCCGTCCCCAAGGTGTACTCCCTGGACAAGCCAAAGACCTTCCACAACTGGTTCAGCCCCTACCGCTTTTTCGAAAAGAACAAGCAGCTGGAGATGCTGGCAGAGCAGATTGCCACATTGTGTGAAACCCTGGAGGAGTATCCAGCCATCCGCTACAGGAAGTGAGTGTGCCCAGGGGAAGGGGTACCCAGCTATCCCCTATAGGAAGTGAATGTGCCATGGGGAAGTACCCAGCCATCCTCTTCAGGAAGTGAGCGTGCCCAGAAGGAGAAGGGTACCTGGCCATCCGCTACAGGAAGTGAGTGTGCCCAGGGGGAGGGGTACCAGCTATCCCCTATAGGAAGTGAGTGAGCCATGGAGAAGTACCCAGCCATCCTTTACAGGAAGTGAGTGTGCCCAAAGGGCGAGGGTACCTGGTTACCTCCTACAGGAAGTGCGTGTGCCCCTCGGGGAGGAGCTGTTTCTGACCCACAGGGTTTGTCTTTGCTGCAGGGACCATGAAGATAACTTCCACTTGGCGCACGCTGTGCTGGCCAAACTCAAGGCGTTCAAGGCATACGAGCCCAGCATGGGAGAGGTGAGCGAGCTGTGTCGGCCACACCCTTGCCATGGGACAGAGCCACGGGGGAGCACATGAGAAGTAGAAGGAAGGAGGAGTGATTTAGAACCTGCTCGGAGATCCTGGCGGGGGGAGGGGTGGGGTCTAGACACCCTTGGAGATCCTGAGGGGTTGGCAGAACAATAGCATTCCCTGTGTGGCTGGACTAATGGCCCCAGCCCTTCTCTAACACTGGCTGTGGGCAGATCTCAAAGTGCTCTACAAAGGCTAGTGTCCTTATCCCCTCTGTATAGATGGGGAAACCGAGGCACCAACTGGGGAAGTGTGTGCCCAGCACAATCTCTCTGTTTATAAACAGGGCAGTTCGGTCAGAGAACTAAGCTTCGCACACAGAGCCTCTTCCACACCTGGACACTCCTGTCTGTGTGTGCTCCTACACCCATCACCATGGTATCAGAATCTCACTAATGAATTCAGCCTCCCAGGGGAGGCAGGGTGGCCTGTGTTACAGATGGGAAACTGAGGCATACAGGGAGTCTGCCAGAGCAGGAATAGAACCCAGCTCTCCCGAGCCTTAGCCACAAGTCAGCCCTGGCCTGTGGGCTTCCCCTAGCTCCTGCCATCCCCGTCCCACCCCCAGCAGAGGGGAGCTGCAAACCCACCCTGCCCTGGATTCTCACACGGGAAACCCAGTAGCTCCTACCCCCCTAGGAGAAGCAAAGTGATGTAAAATCCAAGGCCTGCCCAGATCTCTCCCTCCTGTTGCCTCTGCTCTTGCTTCCAGCCTTTGCTGAGCTGCTGGGAGACTGTGCACCTGTGACCAACTGGGAATGTTTGTAATATCTTTTATGAATCTGATGCGTGCCTCAGTTTCCCTATATATTTCCTGGCTTCTCTGGCAGGGGGTGAAGGGGAAGGATTCTCGGGGAAGGTAAGAGTCATGCCGGGGGTGGGGGGTGTCACCTCCCTGTCTTGGTGAAATGAAGAGAATCCAACACAGATCAGCCTGGGGGCCAGAAAGACCGTGCCGGCTCCAATGGCTCCTGGCTGGATGCTCCCAGCAGGGAATTGGAGCAGGGCCCCCAGCTCGAGAACACAGGGTTGGGAAGGTTTGAGCTGGGGGATGAGTGCGGGAAGCTGGGAGCTCTCGCCTGAGAACTGACCAAGGTCAGGCCGAGGCCTGGTCTACACGAGGCAATTGGGTCGGTGCCACTGCGTTGCTTGGGGGTATGGGAAAGGCGGAGTCACTGAAGCGGAGCAGCTGAAGTGGTTTACATGTAGACAGGCCCTGAGTGAGAGACCCGGAGCTGAAAACAGGTTTCTCTGCAGCTCGGCCAGGCTCTGGGCTGACCAGAACGGCCTCTTGCTTTAACCTTCAGTGGGCTGGGCTGCCCAGGCTGGGGTCCAGGTGCCTAAGAAACCCGACTGTTCTGGTCTCCAAAGCCACCCAGCCCGCAGTCCCGGCACCCTGGGGCCTTGTCTGCACTAGTCCCTCTTGCCTTGATGTTTCCCAGCTGCCAGCCCTGAGGGGTAGCTGGGACAGGCAGTGCTGTGGCACCCACCAGTGCACTAACCACCCCTCTGCTCTGGGCAGGGTGGGGTGACCCGGTGGTTACGCCAGCCCCCATCTGCACTCGGGGATCCCTCCAGCAGAGCCGAACTGGCAAAGGGTGTGAGCAGAGTCCCGTGGGGGGTGGGGGCGGGGGCTGAGCATAGCAACCCATCCAGGCTGGGTAGGGCTAGAGGGGAATGATGGTGCCAGCTCTGGGTTCATGTCCCTGCTCTGCCACAGACTCCCTGTGTGACCTTGGGTGAGTCACCCAGCCCCTCTGGGCCTCCATCCCCCTCTGCAATGGGGTGACAGCCCTGCCCAGCCCCACGTGCATGGGGGGGCAGGATGCAGCAATGATAGTGCTACAGTGGTGGGGGCCAGATACTCCTCCAAGAGAGGCGCTCCCCCGTCAGCCTCAACCCATTTACCCAGAGGCTGTGGAGACCTGCCAGGCGGATGGGTGGTGGCCGGTCAGACGTTCTGCTCCCGAGCGTGGCTGAAAATCGGGCCACGTACTGAGGTGGGACAGTTGGGATAGCATCAGGGGCTGTACGTCCCCACCCCACCCACCCCTGACTGTCTGTGCTACCCAGCAAAGAGCAGACGCAGCCCCCCCCTTGCCGAGGTGCTCCTGGGTGGGCTTGGGTTCCACTGGGGCTGCTGGAGCCGGTTTCAGAGCCCTCTGCCATGAGAGCGCAGGGCTGGTCTCCTATCGCCACCTGCTGCGCAAAGAGGGCAGTGCATGCTGATCAGGCAGGAAGCGGGGGCTGGGCCAGCCCCCCCATGATGTGGGTCTGAGATGCTGACCATTGGAGTGGTCTCTGTCCCACTGGATGCTGGGGGGCCACACAGGCTGGGACTGGGGAGCTAGAGCTTCATATGGGGTCCCAGCTCAGATGCAAGGTGGGGCATAGGGATAATGTCCTGTCGTCCCCCTCTGGGACCTTGTATCAAAGAGTCTCTGGGCCTGGTGTTGGTTCATGATAGACTAGCCAGGCCCTTCTGGTGTAGTTCCCCCCGTCCCCACACAGCATATGGAGCAGGGGGCAGTCAGGGAGCTGCCTTGTAAGGGGCATGCTCCCGTTGGTGGAGAGGCACGAGCAGAGAGCATGCTTGGGGGAGGGGGGCATTGCTATTTGCATGAGGGGCAGGTAGCCCGTCCCTGCAGGGGGCGTTGCAGTGCAGCTGGTCAGGGCAGGACCCCAGGGCACGTCCCAGCTAGCTTGGGGGGTGTCTCTTGGCTTCCCCCTGGGGTTGGGGGCTGGGCCACAGAGAGGGTGGGTAGTGAAGTTTCAGGCCACCAGGGCCCATTGGATTGTGCCGTGTAAGCCAGGCCAGGAACCCTCTGCCAGAGCAGGAGGTGACGGGTTTCTCTCTCCTTTGCCCCAGGGCCCCGACAAAGCCCGTTCTCAGCTGCTGATCGTGGACCGGAGCTTCGACCTGGTGTCCCCACTGCTGCACGAGCTCACCTACCAGGCCATGGCCTACGACCTGCTCAGCATCGAGAAAGACACCTACAAGTAGGGCCTGGCTGCCAGCAGGGGGCGCCCCGCACCCCTCCTCAGGCGGGCTGGGGGGGATGTGGCCCAGGCACCTGCACTGCTCCGCAGCCCCCACGCTCGGGCGAGGGGTGCCGCAGCCTGACCCCATCTCCCCCCTGCAGGTACGAGACGATGGGCATCAGCGACTCGCAGGAGAAAGAGGCGCTGCTGGACGAAGACGACGAACTCTGGGTGCAGCTACGCCACATGCACATCGCTGACGTCTCCAAGTGAGCGCGCTCGGCCCTGCCCCCTGACGCACCCCTCCATGCCCCGCCCATCCACTGGACATACCCCCCCGTGCCCCACCCAGGGCCAGGACCCATCCCCCCCCCGGACACACCACTCCGTGCCCCACCCAATGCCAGGACACCCCTGGACACACCCCTCTGTGCCCTGCCTAGTGCCGGGTCTTGCTACTCCGGCAGAGGATGCTGAATGCTCCGAGGTCAGACCCAGGAAGGTGGAAGCTGTGTGAGCTGTGTGTCCTGAAGACAGTCTGCTCACAGAAAGGCGACTACCCCAGAGTCCTGACTGACTTCATGGGGAGCAGTTCCAGAGCATCGCCCAGGGACTCCGTGACAACTGGTGGCAGCGGTGGGATGTACTGCACCCCGTGGATGGCGCTTCCTGCAGTAAGTGACTGGGGAGCAGTAACACGAAGGGGGATTGCCGAGGACCAGGCCTGCTGAAGGCTCAGAAAGGAGCGGTTTCGGGGGGCGGTTAACCCCTGGGAGTGTGTGACCAGCGAGAAGGACTGTGCAGTAATGGGGTCCCCCTGGGGACTGCAGTGAGCAGTCTCAGGGGCGGAGGAGTCTGCAGCTCGACCCTGGCAAAGAGGTGGTGACCTCGAGAAGGGCTGGCACACTAGGGGTTCTCCCTGGAAACCGTGGGGAGCTGAGAACACACGGGCCTGTGAGTCCACAACAACTTGGGAGGAGCGGAGTGATGGCCTGTCCCCGTCTCCTTAAGAAGGACATTGTAACCCTGTGCAGAAAGAGAGGGTTGAGCGTTGGAAAGTTCACCAAAGCAGAGTTAATCGTGCAGCTGGAGGAGGATGACCGCTCTAAGGAACAGATTCCTGACCCCAACTGGGGCTATAGCAGGATCTGGGAGCAGCTGAAGCAGGAGCCAGGCATCGCCAAGACTCCTGTCCCCGACCAGACGGGGGTCTTCACGATCGGGTTCCCCATCGGGGGATCGAGACGGACGGGATTGGAGCTGAGTCTGAGAGAGCAAGAGGACCCTGGGAGACAGCGAGAGCCCGAGAAAGAGCTGCAGAAGCAGCAGCAGCATGAACTGGCGGTGGTGGGGCGGAGAGGCCGAGGGGACCTCCCAGGGGTGAGTGGGGATAGATCCCGGGGGGCCAGTTCCGCAGGGAACCTCGAGACTAAATTGCTGCCCCTGGTTAAGGAGGGGTGGCATGTGGATGCCACCTCACTGCCTTTGAGCAGGCTGGCGATTTGAACCAGGGGGACCCTGCGGAAAAGCCCCGGTGTCTTGCTCCCTTGCTGGGTCCCAAGGCCATAGACTCCGTCAGCCAGATGGGTGGGGATGTGGACAGGCTCCCACTCCTGACCCCAACCTATATGTCTGTGTGGAGTTTCCTGGGGCCAGGCCCCTCGGACCTCCAGTGGGAGCAGAAGGTGATGGTCAATGGGGAGACATTCTTGGGGTGGCCAAAGGGCATGGGCTGCATAAACCTTCCCACATGCGGCCTGCGAGTGCTATCGACCACCCCTGACCTAAGGGAGGGTGTGAAAATGGAAGGGCCTGGTGTAACTCCTACCAAGGAATGGGAGAGATGCTGGGGCATCCATGGGAACGTTGGTGGCTTCGAACTTCCCCAGGTCACCGGCTAAAGTGACCCCGCTCAGTTCGATCTCGAAGGGGGGAGAGATATGACGAAGTGGGACTGTTCTTAATGTTTCCTCTGAATAGTGGGGGGGTGCCTCAGTTTCCCCTAGGCAGTTCTTAAGTATCTAGGGGGTGGAGTAAGGGTGTATGATCATTGCAGAGCCCTAGAGGGCAGGTGTGTGCAGGGGTCTGGACACAGAGAATGGCCGACACCCTGTTTCCTGGCAACTGATGGCCTGGGCCCTTCCCCCCCCTGCAAGGTGAGAGCTGAAGGGTTGGAGAACAAAGGAATCAGGTGACCACCTGGCCCGGGAAAGGAACAAAGCCCAGAGGAGGAGGGGCTGGAGGGGGTTTTCAGTTTGGGGCTGGCTGGGACATGGAGTGAAGTGCAGACGTGGTTGTCTGGCTCACTGCCCCCCAGAATGGACCCAGCTGAGGGGTCCCGTTCTCTGCACCTGCAAGCTCTGTTTTAGACCATGTTCCTGTCGTCTAATAAACCTTCTGTTTTACTGGCTGGCTGAGAGTCACGTCTGACTGCGAAGTTGGGGTGCAGGACCCTCTGGCTTCCCCAGGACCCCGCCTGGGTGGACTCGCTGGGGGAAGCACACGGAGAGGCAGAGGATGCTGAATGCTCCGAGGTCAGACCCAGGAAGGTGGAAGCTGTGTGAGCTGTGTGTCCTGAAGACAGTCTGCTCACAGAAAGGCGACTACCCCAGAGTCCTGACTGACTTCATGGGGAGCAGTTCCAGAGCATCGCCCAGGGACTCCGTGACACTACTCCCCCCCATCTTCGGCACACCTCTCCCCTCCCCACCCAATGCTGGGACCCCCTACCCCCACTTTGGCACAGCCCTCCCCTCCCCGCCCGCTGCCAGGACTCCCCCCTTGGACACACCTCTCCCACCCAGTGCCAGGACAGCCCACCCCGTTGACACACCCCTCCCCCTCTTTTCCAGTGCCGGGACTTCCCCCATCCTCCCCTTCAGACACACCCCTCCCCTTTCCTTCCCACCCAGTGCTGGAACCCCACTACCCCTTGGATACACTCCTCTCCCACCCAGTGCAGGGACACCCACCCCCCGCAACACACCCCTCTCCTGCGCAGTGCCAGGGCCCCCCTCCCCCTCCCACCCAGTGCTGGAGCTTGTCCCTCAGACATACTCCTCTCTGAGTGCTGAGACCCCCTGGACCCAGCCCCTCTCCCCAAAGGACCCCTGAGCGCTCCCTTCCAGAGCCACTGTCCACATCTCCTCTTGGGGATCCCCCTGGACACTGTCTTCCCCCGATTCCAGGGTCTCCCCATGCACCTTACAGCTCCCTTGAGTGAGTCCCTCACCGACCTCCTTCTGGGCCTGCCGCTGCCCCCAGGGCCCCCCAGCAGGGCGCCAGGAGCCCCCAGAGGTGCACTGAACTCTGCCTTGGGGTAACTTAGGAAGAGGGCCTCCCCCAGCCTGTCTGAGGCTCTTGAGGCAGAGAACCCTGGTGCCTGTGGGGCGGGGGCTCCATCCCCTGTAGCATAGGACAGGGTACCCCCTACCTCCAAGGCAGTGCCTGGCTCCGTCCTGACCCCTCTCCCTGCTGCAGGAAGGTGACGGAGCTGCTGCGCACCTTCTATGAGAGCAAGAGGCTGACCACGGACAAGGTGCGGCAGGGGTTGGGGGGAGCGATTGGGGAGTTCAGGCCGGAGGGACAGGGGGACCCATCCCACTGCCACTGATGGGGAGGGGAGGCTTCCCTGCTGCCCCAGGAGGGGTTGGCGGGGGTGGGGGGCTGTCCCATTGCTCCCAGGGTTTGCCTGTAAAGGGCTTAGAGGTGTATGTGGAGTCCCCTGCCCCCCAGCCAGAGCTCTGGAGCTCCCCACAGTGGGGGGAGGGCAGAGGCCCATGGGGCGGGGTCAGACAGCAGGATCGGGACCGTGCAGGGAGAGCTGCAGGGAGCCAACGCTGGCATCTCCCTGGCCCGCTGCTGCTTTACACCTTGAGGGGCGCTCGGGTTGCGGGGCTCCCGTCTCGTTCCAGCTGGCCTGGAAAGGGCAGGTCTAACCTAAGCCGCAGCCACGCATGGCCTGAGTGACCCGCCCTGCTGCCTCTGCCCTGCAGGGGGCTCCAAGCGCTGGGAGCAGCCGGGATATCACCACCGCCTCCCTCCAGGCCAACATCGAGGACCTGTCCCAGATCCTGAAGAAGATGCCCCAGTATCAGAAGGAGCTGAACAGGGTAACGGGGCTGGGCTTTTAGTGGGCAGGGGGCAGGCCATTCAGTGGGGCTGATGGGAGGGGCAGGGTGCTCTGTGGGGCTGGTGAGGGCCAGTAGGGACTCTCCTGGGGGGCAGGGCACTCTGTGGCACTCCGCTTTACTGCCTGATGAGAGCTGCTGACCTGTCCCGTTGGGCAGAGCCATTTTCCCCCCAGGTGCTGTGTGGCACCATGGGCAGCAGCCTGCCTGTCAGTGCCCAGAGCTGCCACGTTAGCCCCACCAAGGGCAGCCCTTGGGTAAAGCCCGTGCCTTGCTGCTGCAGCTCTCGGGAGAGGGCCTTGGTGGGCTTCCAAACCAGCCTATTGGAGCCACTCCTGGTGCCACTGAGCCATGTGCCAACAGAAAGCTCCTGGCCACTGGCACAGGTACCCCGACACCTGCTGATCTCCAAGCCCCCAACCTCGTGGTGACTAACAGAGAAGCCGTGGGTGCAGGTGCTCTGGACCAGCCAGTGATACGGTAAACTCCCCCTGTGCCCCGGTCTCTCCCCGCAGTACTCCACGCATCTGAACCTGGCCGAGCACTGCATGCAGCACTTCAAAGGAAGAGTGGAGAAGCTGTGCAGCTTGGAGCAGGTGGGTCTGTGGGCAGAGCCTGGCTTGGGGCAGAGTCTGGCTCATGGACTCAGCCCGGAGAGAGGGGTCTCAGAGCCGCAGGCTCGCTGGAGCCAGGGTCAGCCCCTCCATGCAGCACCAGGGGTGCAGAAGGAGGACATGGGGCTCGGGTTACTCCCTGGGGGCCAGTTGCTCACCCCAGAGGGAGCTGACCCCAGGGAGGAGGGGGCCCTGGCACGGGGTAGGCGAGCTGTGGGTCAGGGGGCCGTCACATCTCCCATCCTGCTGCGTGGGCGGGAGGAAGCAGAGTGGCCTGACCTGGGCCTTGTGTGTGCGCCCCCTTCCCCCTGCCCCCAGGACCTGGCTATGGGGACGGACGTGGACGGGAAGAAGATCAAGGACCCCATGAAGATCATCTTGCCTGTCCTGCTGGACCCCAGCGTGCAGGCCTACGACAAGATCCGCATCATCCTGATCTACATCTTCCTGAAGAATGGTAATGCCACAGGCCTGCAGGGGGAGCACTGCGGGGCCTGCTGCTGCAGGGGGTGCTCCTGGAGGTGGGGCCCAGGCCTGTGGGGCTGGTGGGGAATAGCACTGCTCAGACTGGCAAGCCCTCCTGCTATGCAGGGCGCCCCCGGCCAGCCGCTTCCCAGGGCCTGTGTCCAGCCCGGCTTTACAGCCCTGTCTTCCCTCTGCCCACCTCTCGGTGCCTGCAAGCCTGCCAGTGCGCCACGCCCATGCTCCGATCTGGGGTCAGATCTGGGGTCAGATCTGGTGGCCTTTGCTCCCTGCTACTGCCTTCCGAGCAGTGTCCGCCCTCCATGCTCCCCCAAGCCCGTTCTCTGCAGGGAGGGAGGGAGGATGGAGACACACACCCAGAGCAGCCCCCCAGCCCGTTCTCTGCAGGGAGGGGGGATGGAGAGACACACACCTGGAGCAGTCCCCCGGCCCATTCTCTGCAGGGAGGGGGGACTTCCCTCCCTTCCTGCAGGCTGTTCAGATACCATGTTGTGTCTCTGAGCCTCCTGCAACCAGTCCCCTGCCCACCCCTTGTGTCATCCCTGCAGCAGCTCCCTGCTTCTTGCTGCATCCAGCCCCTTCCCCAAACTC